AAAGATATTTGTCATATATTTGAACAAATTTTGTCATGTTTACGAAATAACAAACAATAAATGGAAATGATTTTTGTTACTAGTAGTAGTAGTAGAAGTAGTAGTAGTAGTAGTAATGCTTAAATAGAGCAAAGATTCCCAAGGGTAACAGGCAATTGGGGGAAAAATGTTGTTTTTGATATGAACGGAAGAGTTACTTTTCGTTTTAAAAAAAAAAAACTATGGACATATGTGTGTGTACATGTGTGTGTGTGTGTGTTCTGTCTGTCGGTGTGTGTCTGTCTGTGTGTGTGTGTGTATATGTATATACATCTCAAGTGATCGGGTAGTTTGCTTTTTTAGATTCAAAATATTTCATCTCAGTCATTTTTCGTGCTCTAAGATTCATTCAAAACCAAACAACCCTCACATCATAATGTTGTTTGCTACATTTGCTACTTTTTTTTTTTTTTTTTTTTTACTCAAATGCTGTTTTTCAACTCAATATGTTATCCCTATCATCATCATCACAACAAACCACACAACCATTCCAAATGACAGGAACACCACACTAAAACCTATCCCATCCTATTTACTTCTGTTCTTTTTTTTTTTCACTTTCAAACATTCATCCTATTTCAGTATATATCATGCAATTTCATTATTATTTTAGGAAAAAAAAGAAAAAAAAGCTAATTTTGTAACTTTATATCTATGTTTGGATTTAAGGAGGAATGTTAATGCTAAAAGATACCTTATTGATTGTATTGATTTTTTTTTTTTTTTTTGAAACTGCTATAGTGCATTGTAATCCTCATATTTACCGTATCAAATGTTATAACATTTGGAGAAATTTTTAACCCTTTTTATTGCATATTTTTTCATATTTCATTATTTCGTACAAAATTTGTTACAATTTGATCGAACGATTAAACGATAAATTCAAGCATTATTTTTTTTAAGAAAAGAAAAAATGATAAAAAAATTTTTTATCCTTATCAATGACTTCTTCAACAACCTTCCGAGTGACCAAACTAAATGACCACACTGTTTAACTTCTCAAATAAAGTATTCATGTAATGCTAGTTTGATAATTAGTAGCTAAGAAAATGAATGCAATCGTATTGCTCAAACAGATTTCATTAAAAAAACAAAGAAGACAAGTTAGTTGTTTATTTATTTTTTATCTCTCAAAATTAAATGAATGAAAATGAATTGGACAACTGGATAATGTTCCTTAAGTAATCTATTGTTCAAGATCTACAGTAATAAGGTGAGATTATGATAAATTATACAACTATGATTTGTTGGCGACAAAAACCTTATGTCACATGAAAAATTTTGTTTCTAGCTATTGGATTTTGTAGTTTAATCAGAAGATTGAATTTGATTTGAATAAATTACAAAATATCTTTTGGGTAATTTCTTATTTCACAAAACCTTTTTTAAAACTAACAGAAAATTATTTATATTCTATTTTAGTTGACATTTTTACAGTTATGACATCAAATATGAAAAGATAGATTCATCTTTTAATGAATTCTCTTCCTTAGTGACCAGTAAATGACCAAAATCTTTGCTTTCTCAAATAAAGCATTCATATTTTTAAATATGTGAAGTGTAACTGTAGCTATCAATTCTAAACTACTATACTCCTAGAAGATCTGTTCTAAACATCCTAAATTGATAACAGTTTTTGCTTAACATGAATAAAACTACGTGGAAGTACGTGAATGAGCAACAAGATAATTCAGGATATTTCGATCTGGATGAAAAAAAAAAAAAAACGAATGTTGAAGTTAGTTTCTTCAATGATTTGTACCTAAAAAGAAGAAAAAAATGTTTATTTTCGATTTAAAAAAAATAGAGATTCGGCGGTATTTGTCCATATCATAACCATTGAAAGCGCATTTGTCCATGTTCATATCATTATTATCAAAATCATTTCATGAATAATTTATAGGATGAAAATTTCTTTTTTTCTACCTTTTTGCATTTTTTTCCCTCTCTCTCTCTCTTTGCTTATTTTCATTCTCAAGCAAAGAGAAAGGGTTTTTTTATCGCGACTGAAAAAAAAAAAATATTTTGTTTGTGATGGAAGTAAAAAAGGAATGGGAGAATAAAAAAGAAGTTTTGATGTTTGTGCAGTTGCATTGACTGATAAATTTCGCAAAACTAATAGTACCATAGTCTGGGCCATGAAAAAGTGAAGTTTAATATAAGATGAACTATCCAGTGGTCATTTTATTAGTTATGAAAGAAAAATATCCATTGGTCATTCCATCGATTATGGAAGTAATAGTTCGATGCTTATTTCCTTAGCAATTAAAATATCATATTAACATAGGTTTTCAATTTTGCTTAATACAAGTACGGTAAGAGAATACGTACAGCATGATAATATGAAAAATCGTTTTTCCGTTTCATTCTTTTTTTTTTTTCACTTCAACTTCTGTTTTTTAATTTATGATCGTTCTTTTCAATGATGAATTTGATAACCAAACTGGTTGATGGAAAAGGAGAAATACGACATTTCGAACAACGTTATGTGACACTTCCTTGGTTGGTTCCTTGATAAAATACCGAATACAGTAATACATCGAATTTATTGATTAAGTAAAAAATCAAGAGTTAGAGCAATTGCCCATTTAAATCGTACAGAATTGTAAATAAATAGTGGTCATCTGATCAAAAATCAAAAATTCCGGAAATTTTTCACTTTTAATTAACTTATGTTAAATGTTTAACAGCACAAAATTCCAACTACTATTCATTCTTAACAGTAAGATATAAGTAAAGTGTCCGATTATTGATGACAATGTCGCTATTCCTTTTAAAGACCAACCATATTCCATTCAAATTCTTAATGAAATTTAATTTTATACCATTAATCCTCATCCTTTTCCATTCTTTGTCATCATTTTACTATCCTTTTCTGTTATTGTCACATTTCATTGGACAAATTACAAATACATGATCTATACTCTTTATCATCCAACATACATACAAGCATCATACGTTTACGTACTATTGCAACAGTATTTGAATACATTTTAACTTATCACCTTTTCATATACAAACAGAAATATCATACATGTATACGGGAAGAGATAAGTATGTGCACGTATACGTAAACAAATACGTGAAAGTAAACGTATATGGACACGTAAATAAATGATGTTAATTTAACATAGATACGTACATAGATGGATATTTAACATTAATAACCTTTTGATCGTATTAATTTGCAGAAAAAAAAAAAGAGAAAAAAGTGTGAATCAATTGAAATTGATAAGTTATTGTTTAATAAAATTTTATTTTTCACAAATTATTTAAAGTTATTATTGGCAAAGAAAAAATATAACACACACACACATAAAAAGAAAAAAGTACATATAGAGAAGTATTACCATACTGGAACTATCCATTTCCGTAATTCCGGGATGATACATTACCATACTGGAACTATCCATTTCCGTAATTCCGGGATTGATATAAGATGGTACTGGATTCTCTTTGTTTTTTTTTCTTTTTTGTAACATTTCCATCAAGTGTAGCCATTTAAAGATGAAAAAACTTGAAAACATGAAGTTTCAATTTCATCATAATATACTGGTCATTTGATTGAATGACCATTCTGACCATTTCCGCCCGAAAATATTAGCTAAAAATTATGTTGATGATTTGCAATGAATTTTTTCTCTTTAATAAAATCCCTCCAGCAAATAACAAAACATTTAATTATTAAAGTGGAAGTGCAAAAAAACATATCTACTCCACCTCCTTCTCCTTCTCCTCCTTTTCCTTCTCCGCCATTCCTTCCTTCTCTTATAACCAAACGAAATGCGCTATTGCCATTGCGTCCCTTCCTTTTACCGCCCCTTCTCTCCAACCATTTTCCCTGTCATCCAAAACAACATGACATATTCAATATCCATTTTTGGAGTGGATAAGAAAAAAAAAAGAAAATTCCAATTTTTGTCATCCCTTTTTCTCACTATCAAACTATGTTGCTCCCTTGAAACTAACAAATTAATATTTTTTTTTCCCTTCAACATTTTTAG